GATGGTTTTGGCTAGGGCAGTTAATGATACAAGCATGTCCTTTTCTGGGGTCCTTTCTAGTTTTTTAACATCACCTTCTATTTTCTGCTTTGGTGACAGTTTCACTATTTCAGCTCGTTCTACTTCAGAGATTTTCAAGGACGATGACTCAAAATTCTTTTGTTTAGTTTTTCTTTTTCTTTGTTTTTCTTGCCACCAAGTAGATGATGTGTCTCAGGCTTCTTAGCCTATTCTTCCTTATTGGCTGGCTTTCCTAACTTCATGCCCTTGGAACAGTCCGTTTTCAATAGTTCCTTCTTGACTGGCTTTGACTCCTGAAGTCCATCCCAGATTTAGAGTGGGATTCTCTGGGACGTCCAGTGATGTTATCATTCTTCTGAAGATTTACAGAGTCAATAGTGGGAGCCTCAACTAGGGTTTTTTAAGATGGTGTTCACACACTCATCTTCAGCAACAAAGGAGTTAGACACCAGCATATATAAAACTCTTATTTAAAAAAGAATTTTTGATATCCAGCTCTAATGCTAGGATACACAATTGGAACAACTAAAGGCAGATGTGACCAATCAGGCACAATACCACTGTGGCAATGCTTTACAAAACGTCAAATGGAAGAAGCAGCCACATAGGATATAAAGTTGACTACAGAACTAGCCGTGTGGATCAAATATCAAAAAAGAGTGGAAATAAGCAAAAATGAAAACACAAGCAAACAAAACAATACACTGGGATTAGGAGCTTTTTATTTTTATTTTTCCATCTCTCAAGCTGATAGGATCATGTTCCGTTGCCTTCTTTTAACAATGTTTTTTTTAAAATAGACGGTATCAGATGCTAGGCTAGGTGCTGCCCTCAAGACACCCAGTCCAAGAAACTGGTCTCAAGGATATCCTGCCATCACTCCCAATACAGCTAGCTCCAAGATCAGAGTTTTATAGAGTCAGTCTTTGCAGGATGCTCTTTGGCTTTTTGAAGGGGTGGTTCAGACCTAGGAGAGTTTTCACGCTCCCCATCCACCTGCTCTCGGGGTCCTTTAGAAGGTTTGAAAACATTTTCTTTCTCGGCTATAGCAGACACGTCCCTTTTCCGTTTGATGTTATCTCTGCGATTGTGACTCTCTCTGCATGGAAAGCTTTCCTGGATAGTTGTCTCCTCGATTTCTGTGTCTATGACTTTGTCCAGGAGCACAGTGTTCTCTGGGCTCCCTTGGGAAGGGTGAATTGCTGATATTAAGAGGTGAAAGTCTCTATGGAGACAAGCCTTCTCTGGTAGCTGAGGGTCTAGCCTGTGCCCCAACAGCATCCCCTCGGTAGTCCTTGTTGTACCACTGTGGGTAGGCATTTCCCCTCCCATTCCCGGGAGCGTTCTTTCTCAAAGAGGTCTCTAAGATGGACGACGACAAGGATGACGCTCTGCACTTAATAGGTTTGGATGTCACAGGGAGTGGACCTTCTCTGAGGAGATCTTGAGCGTGAACGATAACATCTGTGTGGAGGGGACCTTGACCTAGATCCATGACATCGTCGAGACCTGGACCCTGAACCGTGAGGACGGCTCTCGCCTCTGCCTCTCCTGGGGTACCGAGGTGATGGTGAAGAGAAGCCAGAGTGTGGGTGGCTGCAGGATCCAGAGGAAGAGCTTGACCGTGTGGAGCCAGATCTTGACTTTGAGGAAGAAGCAAAGGGACTTCTTGAATCCGATGAACCAGTCCAGGGAGATTTAGACCTGGAGAAGGAGTGCCCTGGCTTCCTCTGAATCTTTTCACACCCCGACAACGCCTCAAGAAAGCCATTGGTGAACTCATCTAGCCTGGACTTCTTCTTCTCCTCTTCCCTCAGTCGTCGTTGCTCTCTATAGAATTCTTCCCTGGACAAAAGCCGTGTTGGTGTTGGAGGCATGGGGTTTGGGTGAGCAGTCTGCACTCCTGACAACCATACCAAAGGTTTCCATAGAGTGGCAGGAGCTGGTGGAAACCCTGGGCAAGGGACACTATATCCTGAAGGCGGGGGCTGCTCAGGAGGGAAGCCAGGAGAGAAGTGTGGGGGAGGGACACCTGGAGGAAGGGGCACAGAGACTGGAGTTGCTGCCAGGGATGGGCCTTGAGCCCTCTGAAATCTTGGGCTGTGCTGTCGCCTGTGGTGCTCTGTGCTCCTGTAACAACTTCCTTCCCCTCTTCTGACTGGCTGTGGTGGAAGAACCGGGTCGCCAAGCTCCCTGAAATGTCCCCAACCTGGTGGTCCACCACCTGCAGGAGCAGCAGCATTTTGGCTGACCGGACCAGTTGTGGGGATCCCCTGGCCCTGCAATGATGACTGTGCCAAGGGAGACGGAGTTGCAAGGACAGGCACCTCGTGACCCTTTTCCTCAGTAAGAGCAGCAGTTGCAACCCAGGAGGCTCCCTTGGAATGTTCTGGTTCCACCGCTGCAGCTGGCGATAATTGATCAGCTGAATCCCGCAAAGGGCCATCTGACTTTTCCAAATGGACTGGTACAGACACTGTGGCAGTCAAATCAGGTACCGGAGCTGGCACAGAGGATGCAGTTCCAGGCAAAGAGGGAGCCAAGGGGGGCGGACTTGAAGTTAACCAACATACAGAGGGAGCTGGGAGTGCTGAGGAAGATGTCACTGGGATCCGCAGAGGATCCTGCTGTCTCCCTACCCGAGTTCCCACCAGAGGCTGCCAGCTCCTCTGAATCAGCGGTCTCGGTGGTGGTATTGGGGGTGGGGGTGGAGGGAAGCGTTTGCCAGGTCCTTTGGTATAGCCAGTTCCATTTCCGAAGTTATTAACAGCCTGTCTTAAACACTGGTTGGCAGTTAAAGCATCCGGAGAAACATCGTTCTGATGACATGTTGGACACCTATGTTCATCTGATTCCAGGAGTGCTGTCCTAATGCATTCGTCACAGTAACTGTTTCCACAGCAGGGGATGATAGCAGCATCCACCATGATGTCCTTGCAGATGAGGCACAGGAGCTCCTCCGGAACAGGATTTTCTTCTTCTGGTGATGATGAAGATGACGACGACCGTTCATCTGGTAAGAAGGGTGGCTTCTCTTTCTTCCCGATCCCATAGGCCTCTGCATCTAGGGTTGGGATTGTGTATTTTCCAGTGCTCGTGAGCAATGCACCCTTCGTGTGAGCATCTTTCACCTCAGTCAGAAAACTGGTAGGAATTCCAGTGCTCCTTCTGATTCTCCGGCCACATTCAAAGTTCTTATCCCCGTTTGTTGGGCAACTCTTAATATGATGACCAGGGACACCACAACGAAAACAGGTATAAGACGGAGGTGGTGGACCCAGAGGTTTCTTCACGGAACCGATTGTTTCGTATTCACGGCCACATTGCAACATCATCGCTTTGATTTTATCTTCCTCCGAAGCATTGGCTTCAGCCAGATTGGCAGTCTCTGTCAGCTGGGCCAGAGAAATAGATGCACAAGAGTCATCGGTTGCCTGTGTGGTTCCCATCGCTGGTTCAGTTCTACACAGAGCGTGTGTCTTCCTTGCCGACTTAACGCCTCCACTAGGAACTCTTCTGACAATCACAGAAGAGTATTTAGGAACTGGCGCACTGTCATCAGTATATTCTTCTTCAGTCTCTGCGTTGAAGATCCGCAGATCGCTATTGGCAGCCTTCAGCTTTTCTCTGCCCATAATCTGCTTCTTTAAGTCGCAGAGGGAGATATGGAGCCCATCAAAGACGATCATGTCATAGCTGAGTTTAGAGGAAAATTTATAGTGCACACAGGGCATGGTGGCAGAGGATTCTGTGGGCTGGGCGCCGCTCTGAACCCTGGCGTTTGCAGCTGGCTCTCAAGTCCACCCCGGGACCTTGATTGAACTCCTGTCTTCAAAGATGCTGCCTCACAAGAGAGCTAGCTCGCTCGTGGGGTAGAGCGAGAGACTCTTATCTTGGGGTCCTGGGTTCTTGCCCCACACTGGGCACCAGCTGTAGCACCAGTTCTAAATGGTTTCAACAGTAAAAAGCCCAGAGCCAGATATCACAGACGCTAAATGCCCGAAGTTCAGAGAGACCAAGAGGCAATCCACAGCCAACTCTCACCTACCTTTTCAAAGCCTCAGCTGAAAGGGGGAGATCCCGTCTCTAGGAATCCTCAGACTGAATGAGCTGAGATCCTGTCTCCATCTGCCTTATATACCTGTCTCCACCTCCCCAGGGCTGGGATTAAGGGTGTGGCCCGACCCCACCCTGATCTTCCTGCTTCCTCCTCCCAAGTGCTGGGCTTAGAGTTAGGTGCCAACAGTCCCTGGCCTCTGTGCTGAACTAGTGACTGGATCTGCCCTCTGATCTTCAGGCAAGCTTTTTTGATTGGGGCACAAACAAAATATCACCACACTCACTTCCAACTACAGAGGAGTTAGAGACCAGGCTACCCAAGACACACACACACATACACACACACACACACACACACACACACACACACACACACACACACAAGAATTTACCATATCAAAGCTCTACTGCGAGGATACGCAAAAAGTAGAACTAAAGGCAGATGTGACCAATCAGGCACAATACCACTGTGGCAATGCTTTACAAAAAGTCAAATGGAAGAAGCAGCCGCATAGGATATAACGTTGACTAAAGAACTTGCCGTGTGGATCAAATATCAAAAAGGAGTGGAAATAAGCAAAAATGAAAACACAAGCAAACAAAACAATACACTGGGGTCATGAGATGTTTAGGAGCTTTTTATTTTTATTTTTCCATCTCTCAAGCTGATAGGATCACGTTCCCTTGCCCTCTTTTAACAATGTTTTTGTTAAAATAGACAGTATCAGATGCTAGGCTAGGTGCTGCCCTCAAGACACCCAGTCCAAGAAACTGGTCTCAAGGATATCCTGCCATCACTCCCAATACAGCTAGCTCCAAGATCAGAGTTTCATAGAGTCAGTCTTTGCAGCCTGCTCTTTGGCTTTTGGAAGGGGAGGTTCAGACCTAAGAGAGTTTTCACGCTCCCCATCCACCTGCTCTCAGGGTCCTTTAGAAGGTTTGAAAACATTTTCTTTCTTGGCTATAGCAGACACGTCCCTTTTCCATTTGATGTTATCTCTGCGATTGTGACTCTCTCTGCATGGAAAGCTTTCCTGGATAGTTGTCTCCTCGATTTCTGAGTCTATGACTTTGTCCAGGAGCACAGTGTTCTCTGGGCTCCCTTGTGAAGGGTGAATTGCTGATATTAAGAGGTGAAAGTCTCTATGGAGACAAGTCTTCTCTGGTAGCTGAGGGTCTAGCCTGTGCCCCCACAGCATCCCCTCGGTAGTCCTTGTTGTTACCACTGTGGGTAGGCATTTCCCCTCCCATTCCCGGGAGCGCTCTTTCTCAAAGTGGTCTCTAAGGTTGACGACGACGACGCTCTGCCCTTAATAGGTTTGGATGTCACAGGGAGTGGACCTTCTCTGAGGAGATCTTGAGCGTGAACGATAACGTCTGTGTGGAGGAGACCTTGACCTAGATCCATGACATCGTCGAGATCTGGACCCTGAACCGTGAGGACGGCTCTCGCCTCTGCCTCTCCTGGGGTACCGAGGTGATGGTGAAGAGAAGCCAGAGTGTGGGCGGCTGCAGGATCCAGAGGAAGAGCTTGACCGTGTGGAGCCAGATCTTGACTTTGAGGAAGAAGCAAAGGGACTTCTTGAATCCGATGAGCCAGTCCAGGGAGATTTAGACCTGGAGAAGGAGTGCCCTGGCTTCCTCTGAATCTTTTCACACCCCGACAACGCCTCAAGAAAGCCATTGGTGAACTCATCTAGCCCGGACTTCTTCTTCTCCTCTTCCCTCAGTCGTCGTTGCTCTCTATAGAATTCTTCCCTGGACAAAAGCCGTGTTGGTGTTGGAGGCATGGGGTTTGGGTGAGCAGTCTGCACTCCTGATGACCATACCAAAGGTTTCCATAGAGTGGCAGGAGCTGGTGGAAACCCTGGGCAATGGACACTATATCCTGAAGGCGGGGGCTGTTCAGGAGGGAAGCCAGGAGAGAAGTGTGGGGGAGGGACACCTGGAGGAACAGGCACAGAGACTGGAGTTGCTGCCAGGGATGGGCCTTGAGCCCTCTGGGATCTTGGGCTGTGCTGTGGCCTGTGGCGCTCTGTGCTCCTGTAACAACTTCCTTCCCCTCTTCTGACTGGCTGTGGTGGAAGAACCGGGTCGCCAAGCTCCCTGAAATGTCCCCAACCTGGTGGTCCACCACCTGCAGGAGCAGCAGCATTTTGGCTGACCGGACCAGCTGTGGGGATCCCCTGGCCCTGCAATGATGACTGTGCCAAGCTAGACGGAGTTGCAAGGACAGGCACCTCGTGACCCTTTTCCTCAGTAAGAGCAGCAGTTGCAACCCAGGAGGCTCCCTTGGAATGTTCTGGTTCCACCGCTGCAGCTGGCGATAATTGATCAGCTGAATCCCGCAAAGGGCCATCTGACTTTTCCAAATGGACTGGTACAGACACTGCAGCAGTCAAATCAGGTACCGGAGCTGGCACAGAGGATGCAGTTCCAGGCAAAGAGGGAGCCAAGGGGGGCGGACTTGAAGTTAACCAACATACAGAGGGAGCTGGGAGTGCTGAGGAAGATGTCACTGGGATCCGCAGAGGATCCTGCTGTCTCCCTACCCGAGTTCCCACCAGAGGCTGCCTGCTCCTCTGAATCAGCGGTCTCGGTGGTGGTATTGGGGGTGGGGGTGGAGGGAAGCGTTTGCCAGGTCCTTTGGTATAGCCAGTTCCATTTCCGAAGTTATTAACAGCCTGTCTTAAACACTGGTTGGCAGTTAAAGCGTCCGGAGAAACATCGTTCTGACGACATGTTGGACACGTATGTTCATCTGATTCCAGGAGTGCTGTCCTAATGCATTCGTCACAGTAACTGTTTCCACAGCAGGGGATGATAGCAGCATCCACCATGATGTCCTTGCAGATGAGGCACAGGAGCTCCTCCGGAACAGGATTTTCTTCTTCTGGTGATGATGAAGATGACGACGACCGTTCATCTGGTAAGAAGGGTGGCTTCTCTTTCTTCCCGATCCCATAGGCCTCTGCATCTAGGGTTGGGATTGTGTATTTTCCAGTGCTCGTGAGCAATGCACCCTTCGTGTGAGCATCTTTCACCTCAGTCAGAAAACTGGTAGGAATTCCAGTGCTCCTTCTGATTCTCCGGCCACATTCAAAGTTCTTATCCCCGTTTGTTGGGCAACTCTTAATATGATGACCAGGGACACCACAACGAAAACAGGTATAAGACGGAGGTGGTGGACCCAGAGGTTTCTTCACGGAACCGATTGTTTCGTATTCACGGCCACATTGCAACATCATCGCTTTGATTTTATCTTCCTCCGAAGCATTGGCTTCAGCCAGATTGGCAGTCTCTGTCAGCTGGGCCAGAGAAATAGATGCACAAGAGTCATCGGTTGCCTGTGTGGTTCCCATCGCTGGTTCAGTTCTACACAGAGCGTGTGTCTTCCTTGCCGACTTAACGCCTCCACTAGGAACTCTTCTGACAATCACAGAAGAGTATTTAGGAACTGGCGCACTGTCATCAGTATATTCTTCTTCAGTCTCTGCGTTGAAGATCCGCAGATCGCTATTGGCAGCCTTCAGCTTTTCTCTGCCCATAATCTGCTTCTTTAAGTCGCAGAGGGAGATATGGAGCCCATCAAAGACGATCATGTCATAGCTGAGTTTAGAGGAAAATTTATAGTGCACACAGGGCATGGTGGCAGAGGATTCTGTGGGCTGGGCGCCGCTCTGAACCCTGGCGTTTGCAGCTGGCTCTCAAGTCCACCCCGGGACCTTGATTGAACTCCTGTCTTCAAAGATGCTGCCTCACAAGAGAGCTAGCTCGCTCGTGGGGTAGAGCGAGAGACTCTTATCTTGGGGTCCTGGGTTCTTGCCCCACACTGGGCACCAGCTGTAGCACCAGTTCTAAATGGTTTCAACAGTAAAAAGCCCAGAGCCAGATATCACAGACGCTAAATGCCCGAAGTTCAGAGAGACCAAGAGGCAATCCACAGCCAACTCTCACCTACCTTTTCAAAGCCTCAGCTGAAAGGGGGAGATCCCGTCTCTAGGAATCCTCAGACTGAATGAGCTGAGATCCTGTCTCCATCTGCCTTATATACCTGTCTCCACCTCCCCAGGGCTGGGATTAAGGGTGTGGCCCGACCCCACCCTGATCTTCCTGCTTCCTCCTCCCAAGTGCTGGGCTTAGAGTTAGGTGCCAACAGTCCCTGGCCTCTGTGCTGAACTAGTGACTGGATCTGCCCTCTGATCTTCAGGCAAGCTTTTTTGATTGGGGCACAAACAAAATATCACCACACTCACTTCCAACTACAGAGGAGTTAGAGACCAGGCTACCCAAGACACACACACACATACACACACACACACACACACACACACACACACACACACACACACACACACAAGAATTTACCATATCAAAGCTCTACTGCGAGGATACGCAAAAAGTAGAACTAAAGGCAGATGTGACCAATCAGGCACAATACCACTGTGGCAATGCTTTACAAAAAGTCAAATGGAAGAAGCAGCCGCATAGGATATAACGTTGACTAAAGAACTTGCCGTGTGGATCAAATATCAAAAAGGAGTGGAAATAAGCAAAAATGAAAACACAAGCAAACAAAACAATACACTGGGGTCATGAGATGTTTAGGAGCTTTTTATTTTTATTTTTCCATCTCTCAAGCTGATAGGATCACGTTCCCTTGCCCTCTTTTAACAATGTTTTTGTTAAAATAGACAGTATCAGATGCTAGGCTAGGTGCTGCCCTCAAGACACCCAGTCCAAGAAACTGGTCTCAAGGATATCCTGCCATCACTCCCAATACAGCTAGCTCCAAGATCAGAGTTTCATAGAGTCAGTCTTTGCAGCCTGCTCTTTGGCTTTTGGAAGGGGAGGTTCAGACCTAAGAGAGTTTTCACGCTCCCCATCCACCTGCTCTCAGGGTCCTTTAGAAGGTTTGAAAACATTTTCTTTCTTGGCTATAGCAGACACGTCCCTTTTCCATTTGATGTTATCTCTGCGATTGTGACTCTCTCTGCATGGAAAGCTTTCCTGGATAGTTGTCTCCTCGATTTCTGAGTCTATGACTTTGTCCAGGAGCACAGTGTTCTCTGGGCTCCCTTGTGAAGGGTGAATTGCTGATATTAAGAGGTGAAAGTCTCTATGGAGACAAGTCTTCTCTGGTAGCTGAGGGTCTAGCCTGTGCCCCCACAGCATCCCCTCGGTAGTCCTTGTTGTACCACTGTGGGTAGGCATTTCCCCTCCCATTCCCGGGAGCGCTCTTTCTCAAAGTGGTCTCTAAGGTTGACGACGACGACGCTCTGCCCTTAATAGGTTTGGATGTCACAGGGAGTGGACCTTCTCTGAGGAGATCTTGAGCGTGAACGATAACGTCTGTGTGGAGGAGACCTTGACCTAGATCCATGACATCGTCGAGATCTGGACCCTGAACCGTGAGGACGGCTCTCGCCTCTGCCTCTCCTGGGGTACCGAGGTGATGGTGAAGAGAAGCCAGAGTGTGGGCGGCTGCAGGATCCAGAGGAAGAGCTTGACCGTGTGGAGCCAGATCTTGACTTTGAGGAAGAAGCAAAGGGACTTCTTGAATCCGATGAGCCAGTCCAGGGAGATTTAGACCTGGAGAAGGAGTGCCCTGGCTTCCTCTGAATCTTTTCACACCCCGACAACGCCTCAAGAAAGCCATTGGTGAACTCATCTAGCCCGGACTTCTTCTTCTCCTCTTCCCTCAGTCGTCGTTGCTCTCTATAGAATTCTTCCCTGGACAAAAGCCGTGTTGGTGTTGGAGGCATGGGGTTTGGGTGAGCAGTCTGCACTCCTGATGACCATACCAAAGGTTTCCATAGAGTGGCAGGAGCTGGTGGAAACCCTGGGCAATGGACACTATATCCTGAAGGCGGGGGCTGTTCAGGAGGGAAGCCAGGAGAGAAGTGTGGGGGAGGGACACCTGGAGGAACAGGCACAGAGACTGGAGTTGCTGCCAGGGATGGGCCTTGAGCCCTCTGGGATCTTGGGCTGTGCTGTGGCCTGTGGCGCTCTGTGCTCCTGTAACAACTTCCTTCCCCTCTTCTGACTGGCTGTGGTGGAAGAACCGGGTCGCCAAGCTCCCTGAAATGTCCCCAACCTGGTGGTCCACCACCTGCAGGAGCAGCAGCATTTTGGCTGACCGGACCAGCTGTGGGGATCCCCTGGCCCTGCAATGATGACTGTGCCAAGCTAGACGGAGTTGCAAGGACAGGCACCTCGTGACCCTTTTCCTCAGTAAGAGCAGCAGTTGCAACCCAGGAGGCTCCCTTGGAATGTTCTGGTTCCACCGCTGCAGCTGGCGATAATTGATCAGCTGAATCCCGCAAAGGGCCATCTGACTTTTCCAAATGGACTGGTACAGACACTGCAGCAGTCAAATCAGGTACCGGAGCTGGCACAGAGGATGCAGTTCCAGGCAAAGAGGGAGCCAAGGGGGGCGGACTTGAAGTTAACCAACATACAGAGGGAGCTGGGAGTGCTGAGGAAGATGTCACTGGGATCCGCAGAGGATCCTGCTGTCTCCCTACCCGAGTTCCCACCAGAGGCTGCCTGCTCCTCTGAATCAGCGGTCTCGGTGGTGGTATTGGGGGTGGGGGTGGAGGGAAGCGTTTGCCAGGTCCTTTGGTATAGCCAGTTCCATTTCCGAAGTTATTAACAGCCTGTCTTAAACACTGGTTGGCAGTTAAAGCGTCCGGAGAAACATCGTTCTGACGACATGTTGGACACGTATGTTCATCTGATTCCAGGAGTGCTGTCCTAATGCATTCGTCACAGTAACTGTTTCCACAGCAGGGGATGATAGCAGCATCCACCATGATGTCCTTGCAGATGAGGCACAGGAGCTCCTCCGGAACAGGATTTTCTTCTTCTGGTGATGATGATGATGAGATGACGACGACCGTTCATCTGGTAAGAAGGGTGGCTTCTCTTTCTTCCCGATCCCATAGGCCTCTGCATCTAGGGTTGGGATTGTGTATTTTCCAGTGCTCGTGAGCAATGCACCCTTCGTGTGAGCATCTTTCACCTCAGTCAGAAAACTGGTAGGAATTCCAGTGCTCCTTCTGATTCTCCGGCCACATTCAAAGTTCTTATCCCCGTTTGTTGGGCAACTCTTAATATGATGACCAGGGACACCACAACGAAAACAGGTATAAGACGGAGGTGGTGGACCCAGAGGTTTCTTCACGGAACCGATTGTTTCGTATTCACGGCCACATTGCAACATCATCGCTTTGATTTTATCTTCCTCCGAAGCATTGGCTTCAGCCAGATTGGCAGTCTCTGTCAGCTGGGCCAGAGAAATAGATGCACAAGAGTCATCGGTTGCCTGTGTGGTTCCCATCGCTGGTTCAGTTCTACACAGAGCGTGTGTCTTCCTTGCCGACTTAACGCCTCCACTAGGAACTCTTCTGACAATCACAGAAGAGTATTTAGGAACTGGCGCACTGTCATCAGTATATTCTTCTTCAGTCTCTGCGTTGAAGATCCGCAGATCGCTATTGGCAGCCTTCAGCTTTTCTCTGCCCATAATCTGCTTCTTTAAGTCGCAGAGGGAGATATGGAGCCCATCAAAGACGATCATGTCATAGCTGAGTTTAGAGGAAAATTTATAGTGCACACAGGGCATGGTGGCAGAGGATTCTGTGGGCTGGGCGCCGCTCTGAACCCTGGCGTTTGCAGCTGGCTCTCAAGTCCACCCCGGGACCTTGATTGAACTCCTGTCTTCAAAGATGCTGCCTCACAAGAGAGCTAGCTCGCTCGTGGGGTAGAGCGAGAGACTCTTATCTTGGGGTCCTGGGTTCTTGCCCCACACTGGGCACCAGCTGTAGCACCAGTTCTAAATGGTTTCAACAGTAAAAAGCCCAGAGCCAGATATCACAGACGCTAAATGCCCGAAGTTCAGAGAGACCAAGAGGCAATCCACAGCCAACTCTCACCTACCTTTTCAAAGCCTCAGCTGAAAGGGGGAGATCCCGTCTCTAGGAATCCTCAGACTGAATGAGCTGAGATCCTGTCTCCATCTGCCTTATATACCTGTCTCCACCTCCCCAGGGCTGGGATTAAGGGTGTGGCCCGACCCCACCCTGATCTTCCTGCTTCCTCCTCCCAAGTGCTGGGCTTAGAGTTAGGTGCCAACAGTCCCTGGCCTCTGTGCTGAACTAGTGACTGGATCTGCCCTCTGATCTTCAGGCAAGCTTTTTTGATTGGGGCACAAACAAAATATCACCACACTCACTTCCAACTACAGAGGAGTTAGAGACCAGGCTACCCAAGACACACACACACATACACACACACACACACACACACACACACACACACACACACACACACAGAATTTACCATATCAAAGCTCTACTGCGAGGATACGCAAAAAGTAGAACTAAAGGCAGATGTGACCAATCAGGCACAATACCACTGTGGCAATGCTTTACAAAAAGTCAAATGGAAGAAGCAGCCGCATAGGATATAACGTTGACTAAAGAACTTGCCGTGTGGATCAAATATCAAAAAGGAGTGGAAATAAGCAAAAATGAAAACACAAGCAAACAAAACAATACACTGGGGTCATGAGATGTTTAGGAGCTTTTTATTTTTATTTTTCCATCTCTCAAGCTGATAGGATCACGTTCCCTTGCCCTCTTTTAACAATGTTTTTGTTAAAATAGACA